TCCACAATCTCAATAGCAACAACCTGTCACCTCCAGCTTCTTGATTTCATAGTCAGTTATGTTGCACATTTTGTCATCCCTGTTGCATCATTTATCATTCGCGTTTATTCTTTTCACAGCCTGACTACACCTGTGGGATCTTTATAGTTCAGTGAGCGGGACGTGTGGCAATGGGAATAAATTAGAGTTTTCTGCGATTCTATGAAGCACGATAGCGTTTTACCGGGTGCTTTAAGGGAATTTCGGTAACGCTGAGCACAGTGTTACACTTACCGTTGTTTTGATGTTGGTCAGCGACTTTTTCCTACGTGAGGAATCGTTGTCCACATGAGGTAACCCTTTTTGATCTCTCAACTCAAATTTTCTACGGGGAGGCAACGTTTGTTGACACAACTCAGACCGGTTGCAGTGCAGTTCGATAACATGCATCATCCTTTGGAAAAGCATTCGTAATTCATTAGAATGCAGGTTAGCAAACAAGCTGTTTTCGGTGGTAATTCAACTGGCTGACTATACCCTATTGAGTGGCAAACAGACACAACGTGAGCAATCAGATGCACACAGTGATGTACTTAGAGTCTAAGAACTTCGGCCAACCTAACAGCGAAAGTTGTATTTAGAGGCAACCGGTAATGAGCAATGAGCGCGAGTTGTGCATGGATTTCGATCCAAGGATCAGTGAATTCTATTCCAGCTATTTAGTCGGCAACAAACTTCATGGAGATGTCGGTGAAACTGAAAGGAAAACTGGACTGATAAGATACAAGGAAAGGGGATAATTCTGAGATAAGGACATGAATATGAAATGTATTTTTTATACATCCAAGTATCTTCCATGTCACCAGGATAGGGTAACACGAACTGGTTGTTGCAGGACGATGAGAAACAGGACCCCTAGGAATTTATCAACCATTATTGAACTGAACTATACGTATCTCACAGATATAGTCAAGCTGTGAAAAGAATAAACGTGAATGATAAATGATGCAACAGGGATGACAAAATGTGCAACATAACTGACTATGAAATCAAGAAGCTGGAGGTGACAGGTTGTTGCCATTGGGATTGTGGATCCAACGCAAAAGCCTATCCATGAGTTACAGAGAAAAGATGTAATTCCTGTTAGCTAGTGACTGAGTTTCAATTAATTCTTGCGATTCATGCAAAATGCTGTTGAATCTTTCATCAAATCTTTGTACCAATGTTCAGATACTCTCGGTCGTGGCTTCACATCACAGAAATACGCAAGCATTTACATTATATTCAAAGAAATCGGTGTTATTTGAAGTTATTTCGGGTGAAATGGAATCAATCTCGTACGATATTGGAAGCCCATACTGCACGCATTCCTGCGTTGACCCATGGTCACATTCACACCTGAGCATAGTAATCCACTTAGCGATCCATATTGACGTGATTCGCTTCAGGTTGTTGTTGGGTATATAGAAGTCATGTTTCAGTTGTGAGAAGTTCAGTAACCTGGGTGGAATTGGAATCCAGACATCAATGCCTGTTACACTTTTGCACAGCGCACGCTCCACCGGCTGAACTACGAGACTTGCTAACCTGAACGGCCAAGGTCAATTTACGCCACGTTTGATGATCACTCGATCAACAGTCGACGGGGGAGGGGTATAACGTTCCCGGTGATTGTGTGGCGATGAACTGCAAACTTCACCTTGTCCCAATTAGAAATTCATCATTGCCCGATTCTTAGTGGAAAGCCATCGGTTGGAATCACTTGAAGTTACAACGGAATCTCTTGAAATAACGAGTGAAAGACTTGAAAGTTGAGCAGTTGCAATAACGGCTTCAAACACGAAAACCACAGAAAAAGATGGATGCGAGACGATTGTTTACAAGTCTTGTACGTATAATGTTTCGTTATCGAGTTCCGTTACTCACAGGCAAGTAATTTTGA